GCCATGGAGATGCTGAAAAATTACCAAGGTGACATCGACCGTTTACGTCAGGTAAAATCAAGTAATATTTGTGTTAACGTTGCTTCTGGTAAACTCTTTATTTAAAAGTAGAGCCATCATGACTATACAACTCCTGTTTCTTGTGTTCACTTAGTAAAGAGAAACACTATATACTGTACAGGTGATTCCCAAATGTATATTCAGTAAATAGCAGCGTGTATTCCTGGGACAATCCACACTGCAAGGATCATCAGAGAATAGTTTGGTGAGAAGTGGGACATTGAGACTTCTCAACTGGCTTAGCAAAGGGTGCGACCTATACCCAGTCAACAACCTATGGGGTAATGTAGTCAACTCCTGGGAGCCGGGTCAGGACCACACTCCAACAGCTGCTCCGGCACGCTATGGCTAGTTGGAGCTCTTCCGGGGGACTCAACAAATTTTATGTAACCACGTGTCATATACGTCCAACAGATTGCAAGATGTAATATGGTATGATGGTGGTGGTGAAATATTAACCATAGGTGGAAACAGTCGGGATACGTGAGTACACAGGGGCCATCACTTCCTTCAATATCTCTCCTGATTAGAGTCGTTTCACCCACACGGTACAGATGCATCCATACATGACACATAACATGATTGTTGTGTGTTACCTTATAGATGCTTGGGCGTTCACCTTGTGTGTTAGATGGTCGTCAATACTAGAGACGACCACGGGTGGTAGACACATGTTTAGATAAGCTGCTCCAGTAATGAAGACAGTTATTCTCATGTTGTTGTCCAACTTCAAGAATTGCCTGTTGATGACTACTAATTTTCCTGTGAATGACTGCACTGTTGCCCTAGCTGGCCTCAACCAAGCACCCACACAGTGACTCTTCACTAAGAGTTTTATTTTAATTGTGGGAAACCGACAAGCTTATTATATAGACAGTAAGAGGCGTTAGTGCATTACATATAAATGCAGATAATAGTATGCCTGTATTATGGGAGGTGGTCTGAGTGGGGTGCTGTGGTTGTGACAGGAGTGGGTGATGGTGTGCTCAGGGACGTCATGAAATACCAAAGTGGTGTTGAGGAAAGTTTCTTATTTAACACAATAGCATGATGGTGGGGTAACCTTAACAGGATGCCCCCCATCTCCTGATGTCCAACACCCAAACTGGTTTACCAATCAGCTCCGACACTGAAAGAATACTAGCCATTCATTCATAAATTTGGCATTGCGACGGTGCCACATTTAGGTAAACATCACCACAGGGGTTAAAGGAACTCTGAGGCAACTGTACCCTGTAACAAGTATTAAGCAGCATTGTTGTGTAGCCACAACTGAGTGACTAGGACTGAAGTATGTAAACAAGGTAATGCACAGTTTCTCGCCACCTGACTATGGCACAGTGTTGCTACTTCTCATAAATATGCCCCCACAAACACCTAAGTCGTGGTACATTCATGTGGAGGCAACTGTACCCTGTAATAAGTAAGAATAGCTCTCAGATAGTGAGAAGAGGTGTACTGTTAGAGTAGACTATTGATACAGTATTAGCAAATATTCGTACGGTGAACATTAGTATAGAGAAGGATACCTGTAACTAATTGTGCAGTACTACTGGATAGTCCACGGTTTTTTATTTCACAGTCCTCTATTCGCGGATGACACCCTGGATGTACCCAAGAATGTCAGTGAGTAGTTTTAAAGTTGCCATGAGTTATGTGGCGTCCCGCAAGGTGTACCTCTTGTCCCGGGAGGCTGGCCCAAGCTCGCCTGCCTCAGTCTGGGATAAACATTTGTCGGTCTCGCACGTGTGCTACTCTGCTCTCGTAAATAACTGTGCTCCTTGTTCTTGTGATGGCTCCCAAACGCCCTCAACCACCTTCACCCAGCCACAGCAAGGTGCCCAAACAAGTGAAGAGAGAAAAGAAGGTCATGTATTTCTCCCATTCATATGCCTGGCAATGGGAGGGAAAGGAGTGAGTGTTAGTTAGCGTGTCGTCTGCAGTTTTAATTCCTCACTCCCTGCCATCTTTTACTGGATTGACTGTTATTAATACAGTAGTGTTTACTGATAGACTAGGTTAGTTCATCATTGTAACCACCAGGCTACTACATAACCTTCTTCATTTATTGTTACTCAATTACATGCACACACCATCCTACATACATACAGTATTATGAAAAAGTATACAGTATTAAACCCCAATTACCGACACCCTTCATGTTGGGTTGGCCAGATGCCCCAAAGAAATCTTGTAAGTTTGATCTACGTCAGCCCAGCTGGTGTGTCATCAGATGGCAACTCCACCAACTCAACTTTAATAACAAAGCACGGAGTTAACTTGAGGGTAGACTCGCATTTTTTCTACATTACATTTTTGTCGTTTCTTATTATGGTATTTGTGAGAGTATTTTCCCATTATTATTTATTTGTATGCATTTTAATAATAATAACAGTAATAATAATTAACAGTTTATTGAAGAGCATTGCAGCCGGAAGGCTGAAAATATACAGAAATTGTAAATATAGAAAAAAAAGTTATACTGTATTAATCTACTCCAAATATGATATATAATAACTAAGCGGGGAGAAGACTACACTACAGGGCATTTCAACATAGTGACGGTACAAAAAGGTAAGATTGGCAGAGAGTGGACACATACACTGGTTGATTACAAGTTGTTGATAATTTTTATAATGGTTCGGACTTAGCAAATGTTATTCGTGGTCATTTTGAGAACCTATCCCCCGCGAATTTGAAGAGCTGTTGTATTTCTGTTTCTTTAGAATGTTTTCTTTTTCTAGGAACTACAGCAAAAGGATAAGCTGATGGAGGGAATAGTGATTCTGATGACCAAGATTCTTGAACGTGATGCTGATGAGGTGAATATGAAGTATGATGATGATCGGGGAAATATGAAGTATGATGATGACCAGTGTGTTAAGGTAAGTATGTGAGATGTGATGTGTTAACTCCTCTAATAAGAGACGGTAAGAATTAGTGTCATCAGTGAACTACATCTTCCATTCTTGTTCTCTGACACTAGAGGAGAGGCCACTTGTACAGTCTTCTCCAGTTATACTTTAGATACAAGTACAGTACAGTTGTAGGTATGAGTCACAGTGAGTCAGGATGAACAGTATCTGCCACATCTATGTTCTAATGAGTGTTGGATTTTTATGATTTAAACCAGTGAAAATATGACACGTGTGTGTGTGTGTGTGTGTGTGTGTGTGTGTGTGTGATCAAAAAGGCAAATGTCTTCAGTTACTTAACTTTAACTTTTATTCTAATCTCAAAATGTAAATGATTTCTTTACCTGTGTGTGTCTAAAGGTTTTTTGGCCAAAATGATTTAGTTATAATACCTTGTAAAACTCATGCCCAATTACATTGTAAACCTTTGTAGTTACTTTTAACTGTGGGTTTAGTTATTATAGCAATGCTTTGCTTAATTGAATATTTGACACCACACTCATGGTTGATATGACAGTACCCAACACAGTATAAATATTAGGATGTGAAAAATATGAATGATTTTAAATAAAATACTGTAAACACAAAACATATATACAAGGGTGAAAAATAAAGTACTCGGCTGTACTGATACATGTTAAAACTTGATGGCCAGTAGATGTTCAAAACAAAATGTGATTTTCTTAAGGATTTCGTTAACCGAATTGAAGATTCTTATGGAAGGTAATTCGTTAACCGAGAGAGAGAGAGAGTTATTAATAAAGAAGATATAAAATAATAATGAAGTACCACATCAAAAATTAATCCAACAGGTCAGAATCTTCCTCAGGTGTGGGTGAGAGAGGAGGGAAGATGTGGCATCCTCATTGGCTGATATTTTATATGATGGGATAGAGGAAGGGCAGGAAATATAGTGGTATAAGTAACTCTCTTCTGGGCAGGTTTTGGTCCAGAGTGCCACCAATAGTCAATCAGATAGTTCAGTAGATGGTAAATAATCTTCAGTAGATTTATCGTAGTTGTATACAGTTCTGTATTAATGTTTCAGGAGCATGGCTCAGCTCTGTGCTGTGCTGTGTGCACCCACAGCTTTAACGCAAGAGAGAGACGGCCAACCCTTTTGACGACGTGTGGTCACAGTGTCTGCAAGGATTGCATCAGTAATTTTACCATTAATTTGTTATAGTAGAAACTGACAGCACTTAAATGAAATCAAGATTAATAACAAATGTGTTGTGTAATTTTTTTAGCATGTTGCTTTTGATTTCATTTAATGTACAGTTTTGAAAGTCTTTTGAATATTATTGGTTTTGCTTGTGATACAACACAGTATTTCAAGAGTGGGAAATTGCTACCCAAATGATTGCTAACTAGATCAATTTATCTGAAAATTCTATTCTTACATCTCTTTTTCTCTATTTGAAGGTGATATTTGTTTATCCAAATGTTGGTCTGATTGAAAATTCAAATCACAGACCAGGCACAGTCCAGGAATCAGCTGTGGCAGCCATTTTGGCCCACCAGATACACATTGTCCACTGCATATGAAGTGCTCTCTCATTTTGTCTGTATTCGTACCATCCCTTTTTTAATCTCCGTGTACAAGTAATGACATCGAACCATAGTAGTGATTCATCTGCTACCCCACCATTACCAGTAGACACCACAAACCAAGTTTGAGATATCAAGCCTCACAAACAGAGAAAAGTCCAACTTAAAGTAATGTACTTAACCAACCGTAAATGCATATTTTATTTATTTATTTGTATTTTTTATTTTAAGTACTGTATAACACTAAATAATTTGGTAATGAGTTACGAACAAGAATAAATAAAAACACAGAAAGCTCGGCTGCAAAAGGTAAAAAAAACGTTTTATTGTTAGTTGGGAATTAATTAATTTTTTGGGGTACTGTGCAATACAATACTGTTGCTGTTTTATTGTTCAGGAAACAAAGCCCATTTTTTAGTTCTTATGTTTATTCTCTACCTTAAAAGTTGATAAACAAATACAGTAAAAGTCCAAAAATCCGGATGCCAGGAATCCGGACCACCCGAGAATCCGGACTTTTCGAAAACTCAAACTTTTTAAATTTAGTGGGCTTTTGTGGGTTATGTGAATGAATGGAGTTGCTTTAAAAAATTAATTTACATAATTCTAATAATAAAAGTAATTGTAAATTATAGGTAGCTAATTTTGTTAGTTTTGTAATTAGCTTGAACTGAAATGTAAAATTTGAGGCACTATATATCTTTTGTGTGTATGTGTGCATGCCACAGCTGCACAGCGACATCAAACGACCACACGATCGCCACTTTAAAACAAGCAATCAAACTGTGACAACGTATGTAATTTTGAGTCCTACTCTTTCCATGTACAGAGTACAAGCCCATAATAATGGCCCCTAAAGTAGATAAACTTCATTGTGTGAAGAGAAAGAAGAACACATTGAAATTGAGTGACAAACTTGAAATAATTAAGAAACTAGAATGTAATGTGAGCAATGCTGTTCTAATGGAAACATACAACATTGGAAAGTCTACAATTTATGATATAAAAAAGGCAAAGAATAAAATTTTAGAATTCACAGCTTCTTCTGAGCCTTACATTAAAATTGCTGAAAGAAAAAGTTTACATTGGCCCAAATTAGAAAATCTTGATAAAGTGTTGCACGAATGGTTTTTGTTAAAACGATCAGAAGGTATGGCAATTTCTGGGCTGATGCTTATTGCCAAAGCAAAATCTTTTAAGGAGCAAATGAACATTGAATCAGAGTGCGCATTTAGTGATGGATGGATTAGGAATTTCAAGACTCGTCATGGTATTAGACAGTTTGTTTACATTCTTGTCTAGTGTTGACTTTATTTTTCTTTAAAACTGCTCGTTTTGATAAATGAAGCATGCTTTATTTGCTAATAAATAAACTATCAAAATGTACCTGTTCATCTCTTCTTTATTCCTCCTTAAATTTTAATTTTAAAAGTACTGCCTGAGAATCTGGAAAATCCGAAAATCCGGACCGACCCAATCCCCAAGCAGTCCGGATTTTTGGACTTCTACTGTAGTTTTCAAAGAACCCAACCCACTCTGATAGTGACGGATACTTTTATGTTCATGTATACAGTTCCCCAAAAAACGATGCTAGTGAAAATGTCTTCTCACCAATTCATATGAAATATAAATATGTTTCCATTAATTAATAATATATTTTACAGGGGAAAGAAGCAACCGGGGACTCCTCCATTGTCCTATTTGTCGTAAATTCCAAAACATGGCAGCATCTGACCTTCCTACAAATTGGGCTGTTCTTTCAAAAATCTCTAAGGTGAGGAGAGTATAATACAGCTACTTCCTCAACTTACGACATACTCGATCTACGACCACCCGGACATACGACTGCCTCAGTCGTACCAAAATTGTCAAATTACATATTTTCGATTCCCAACGTTAGTGATTGCGCTGTGTACCGACAAAATTTTTGTTTGTAATTCACTTTAAAATGGCTGGCAAGCTTAAAAGTGAGAGTTTTGTGGTGCTGAGAAGAAAAGGAGACACCCATTTTAGATTTCTATGTATTATTTAAGCATTTTCGACTTACGACCAATTTCTACTTACGACCTGGATTTGGGTCCCTAACCCCGTCGTAAGTCGAGGAGCAGCTGTATTTATCAGATTAGATATGAACATCAAGAACTTGTTGAAGGATGTACTATCGTGGACAAAAGTTCGCTCCTTCCCAAACTGAAGCATTATCGACCCGCACAGCACACCCGCACCAGATAGCAATCAGGGTAAGTCAGTTCGGAGACTCATTCCCGTGTCTCAGTTTCACTACAGGGAGCGAACTATTGTCCACGTTAGTACAGTACAGTAATACCTTGCTACCCACAACCTCGCTTATCTGCAATTTATATTTTAACACCTCTATTCGAAATTCACAAAGCATACCCCACTTATTTGCAAATGAAAAATTATGATACTGTACAGCAATACTGTATTTCAAGCTGGGCAGGCTAGCTGCAGCTTTCATATTTAAACGAAAGGCCCGCTTAACACACTGGCTTCTTTTTTTTTATAATAATAATAATAATAATAATAATAATAATTTAAATTTACTGTCTATTAAGATAACATGGCAGCCTAAAGGCTGAAAATATACAATGAACAGAGATGATATGTTACATATGGTGGAATCGGGGAGAGGGTCACTTGATTGAGAAAGGTATTCAATACAAAAACATAAGAAACAGAGAGTCAACATATACATTAACTATAGATCTGGTACTGTGGGAGCGGGTTCATGAAAAATACCTCACCGTGTGTGTGTGTGTGGGTTGGTTGGTTGGTTGGTTGGTTTAGAAAGTAATGAAGGTCAATGGGACAGGGAACGTGCATAAAATTCATGCACAGGAGATGCTCACCCCATGCCTGTGTAAGGTTTCCTCAGTGTATGTTTTGAGCATGATTACAGTAATTGGATAAAGTTTATTGAACTGGGGTGCATCTCTGCTATCACGACCTCTTAGGCATTACTGCTTCAATAGCCGTAATTAAAGAAAATTCTATAGTAGAATATCCTCAAGCTTGCAAACCACTTTTTGGGCTGTTATGATATCTTTCATTGAACAATATATGAACTAAAAGATGGTACAAGTTAATTGAGTGGCAAAGGTTTTGCTACTGGTGTAAAAACATATGTTCCAGACTAAATCAAGTATCCTGATTCTGAATCTAAACTCAGAAGTTTCCCAGAATGTCAGGATTTTAAGTTATATATATGATCAAATTACACTGGGCTGTCTAGCACCAACCCAGCATAATTTAATTAAAAACTTGATATTAAAGGTTTTAAATGTAACACACAGTTGGCAGGCACAATATGCAGCATAAGCCATTGGTAGACTCAGAAAGTCTACCTTCCACCACTTCACATCAAAGTCGGCCTTATGAAAAAACTTTGTAAAGGCAATGGATCTTGACGGTGATGGCTTCCAGTATCTCGGAGATAAGTTTGGCGCAGGGAAAACTGATGTTAAACTCAAAGCAGGCATTTTCGTTGGGCCCCAGATCCGAGAACTGATGTGTGATCGCGAGTTCAAAAATAAACTGAACCAACTTGAGTTTGCAGCATGGAAGAGTTTGTGTTGGTTGTGCAGAACTTTCTTGGGAACCATAGAGCTGAACAGTAGTCTCGTGGACAATATGCTAAAGGCCTATCAGCGAATGGGCTATAGGATGTCTCTTAAAATGTACTTGTTGCATTCTCATCTTGATTTCTTTCCACCTAATTTGGGTGAGGTAAGCGATGAGCACGGTGAAAGGTTCCACCAAGACATGTCGGTGATGGAAACTAGGTATGAAGGCCGGTTCAACCCAAACATGATGGGTGATTACTGCTGGTTCCTAGAACTGGAGACCATTTCCACACACAAATGCAAGAGCAAGTGTCTCACACACTTTTGAACACTTCCAAGCGCTGCTTACGCTGAATATATTAAAATTAGTTTAGAATGTTCTAATGTATTTATGAGGGATCTTTTTCTGTAACTTGTATATGTTCTTGAGTTGTATACTACACATAATAAATGTGGAGATCAATTATTGTTATCTAAATATGATGTGAAAGTAATTACTGTACTGTTGTTAGACGTACAAAGTGGCAATATACAATCATAAAGTGTCTTAATATAGCATGACAAGTATCATTAATACATATACATTATGTAACTTGAAAACCTGACGTGATGGCTGAATTCTGACTTCAGATTTGAAATCAGCACCCCAGATTTCCTCAAGAACACCTGCATTTCTCTTAGTAGTAGACAAGAAGTTACATTTGTTGGCCAGTGTCCCTATAACTTAATATGGTGCTGTTAGATATATCAGTGGACAGATCTCTGAAGGCTGGATGATATTTAAACTCCTAATTTCCTATAATCAGTAATGAAAGAAAATACCTAAGGTTGGGTTGGAGGTAACCACTCTAAAGCCCATTTTCTGTGTCTGTGCTTAATGTTAACACCTAAAGAACCCTGTTCTCTGGGAACTGGACCTGGGTATATATGGGATGATTGTGCCACTGTACTTTGGGAGCATAAGAGTGTCCTTGTCATGTTGCAACAGTGTGACTGTCTTCATCTGGCTATCAGCTCACTATCAGTTGTAAAAAGGGATTTTAGAATCGGTCCTACATTTTAATATTACAATATACTTGTGCAGTAAAAACAAAATACTGAATTTTTTTTTTTTTATTAACAGAAAGACGACTTTATGAACAATGAGAAAGGGACGAATGAACAGCTGACCAACCCAGTAATGATGTCATTTGAAGAGCAGATAGAACATGCCTTAAATTTGTCATGTCGTGAAATGTTACGTCTTGAAGTGTCACACTCAATAGAGAAAGATCCCACTTCTGACTCATCTACCACTTGTCTGAACAAGAACAGCAAGCTGTTAACCAGCCCAGTTATGTTGTCATATGAGGAACAGCTGCAGTGTGCCCTCATTAGGTCACGTCGTGGGACATCAGTCAAAAATGAGGAAGACCAAGCAGCTTGTGCTTATTCTTTTGATTCTGTCAATTGTGTGAGAGAAGATGATGAGTTAAAGTTATCATTTGAAGAACAGTTACAGAGGGCCCTCATTCTGTCATGTCATGAGAACAACTCTACTTCTAATTCTCAGCACAAAGAGGAGGAGCCACATGAAAGTTTTACTTCATATTCTCTGCAAGATAACTGTTCAGAGAACATGAATGAACAAATCACTCATGTAGGTGACTGCTGTGCAATATCAGCAGTCATTGACAACAACATTAGGCAGAAGGAGCATGAAACCTTGAGAGGTGCAGTTGATCCACTGAGTGACGAGCTTGCCTCTGAAGGGTCACAGGAAGGGAATGAATGGAACAACTGTCAGGATGGACAACCATACACAACCATAAAGCAAGAAACCTCAGTTGATGAAGACAATCACTGTTTAAAAAAAGAAAATGAATGCAATGTTAATATGGAAAAATTACTCAGGGAGCAGGACGACCTTATGTTGGCCCTGGCTCTACATATGTCAGTAAGTACAGTACTCTACAGTACTACCTTCTTTTGCTTAAATATAAAGTCTTCACTGCTTCAACCTCTTTATTATACATTTTGTGTGGTAGTTGCAAGTGTAAAAAATGGCTGAAAAGCTGTCATGAAATGAGTACATATGTAATAACTTCTGCACTCCCTCTTTTCCTCCTCTCTTCCGACCTGATAACTCTATAGCCAACTCTCCCCCTGATAAAGCCCATCTCTTTGCCACCTTATTCTCCTCGGCTTAGACGATTCCAGCTCTATCCCTCCTACTCCTCCTCAACCTATGCACTTTCCTATAAACTCCACTCGCAGGGTTGTTGGCGTGTTATCCGGGTTGGATGTGAGTAAGGCACATGGACCGGACGGAATACCCCCTCGTGTGCTGAAGCTATGGCCCGTGCTTGCTCGCTTCTTTCTCCTTTGCCTCAAAACCCAAACTTTTCCTTCTTCTTGGAAGCATGCCTTGGTTCAGCCCATCCCGAAGAAGGGTGACCATTCTAATCCCTCTAATTATCGCCCCATTGCCCTAACTTCATCCCTCTCTAAAATTTTCTAAATTATCTTGAACTCCCATTTTCTCCGTCACCTTGAACGCCATTCTCTTTTGTCGGATCACCAGTATGGCTTTCACCAAGCGAGATCTACTGGTGATCTGCTCTCCTATTGCACCCATCTTTGGTCATCCTCTCATAGGGATTATGGGGAAACTTTCGTCTTGACCCTCGACATCTCCAAAGCATTTGACAGGGTATGGCACAAGTCTTTGCTTTCTAAACTTCCCTCTTATGGTTTCTCTCCCCAACTTTGTTCTCTGATTTTTAGCTTCCTTGAGAACCGTTCCATGGCAGTTGTTGTCGACGGATCGATCTCTCGCTCTTTCTCTACCAACAATGGTGTCCCACAGGGTTCTGTTCTTTAACCTACTCTCTTCCTTCTTTTATCAATGATTTACTTCACACTACGACTAATTCTATCCATTCTTACGCTGAAGATTCTACTCTTCACTCCTCTTCACATTTTCCCCTTCCCCCTAACTCTCAAACTAGATCTGTTTCTAGAGCTGATATCATTACATCTATCGATGCAGATCTGTGCAGCAGCTATCATTCTGCCAAATTCTAAAATAGATATGCTTGGCCTCACCATTTCCTCTAATATATTATGGAAGACACACATCCTCAACATTGCTAAAGCTGCCTCCCAAAAGCTGGGAATGCTGCACAGACGTCGTAGCTACTTCACTCCTCAGCAGTTGCTTCAAGTATATAAGGGATTCATTCGTCCAAACTTGGAGTACTGCTCTCATATCTAAGGTGGCTCTTCTTCTGTCCAACTGTTAGTTAATGTGGAATCAAAGGCATTTCGTCTTATTAACTCTCCTCCTTTAGTTGACAATCTTTCTTCCTTTTCTCTTCGCCGCAATGTTGCTTCACTCTCTCTCTTTTACAGGTACTTTGGTGAATTTGGCATCCTGTTTACTGCCGGTAAGGCTGTGAGCTCGTAACACACGTCTTGCCTACGGTGCACAATGTTTCTCTGTGGATGTTCGGTCAAACTAGAATAACCCATTATAGTACATACTTCTTTCCTCACACAGCCAAACTGTGGAATGCTCTGCCTTCTTCTGTGTTTCCACACTCTTACAATCTGTCTCACTTCGAAAAGCTGGTTTTCCGGCACTATCGTGGTGTAGATTAATACCTGTAAAACCTTTTCCTTTTCTATTTTTAATTTATTTCTACTCTTATTTTTTCGCCCCCTAGGCCCCGTTGTGGATCAATGACCTGTGCCTGGGTGTACTGTTCCCCATAAAAAAAAAATATATAAATAAATAAAATAAAATAAATCCAAATAAAATCTATGTTTTTATCTTGACTGAAATTAGAGAATAACACATTTAATATACAAATAAGATGAACTGTGATATTTAAGGTATCCTTAATATTAAACTCAAGAATATATTACTGTACCTAAACTTGATCCTGGATCGAGAATACTTTCCGATTCCTCGTCTCTTCCTGTTTGTTATGGTAATGAATATCTTGCTTCTGTCCATCATAGTTATATAGTTTGAGCAGAAGAAAAAATGTTTTGTTTTACCTTAAGATTGAAGGTGCTTTGTTGTGTGCTATAATAATAATGAACTATTATTAATGATGCCATCAGTTAATGATAAGTTTGCTGCCAGAAACTGTTATGCTGTTGTGTGTACCTATGTATCATGCTGTTGTGTTATGTGTACCTGTGTATCATGCTGTTGTGTTATGTGTACCTGTGTATCATGCTGTTGTGTTATGTGTACCTGTGTATCATGCTGTTGTGTTATGTGTACCTGTGTATCATGCTGTTGTGTTATGTGTACCTGTGTATCATGCTGTTGTTGTGTGTACTTGTGTATCAAACTGCTGTAATAAGTGTACAGTTTCAGTATAATAAGCATTACTGTATCACAAGTTTACATTAAACTTTGCTTGTATTATATCCAGTTTATATTAAACTCTAATTTGCCATATGTAACCTTCACAAAGATAATACAGTACAGTGTCAACAAATTAATTAGGGTCTAAATGTAGATCATATTTTCCAGCTCACAGAAGTTGAACAGGCCCAAGAATCTTCAGAGGACAGTGAAGAGTAGACCTTACACACCCCTAGACTGCATCACCCACTGGAATTTTCAAGAGTTTAGTGATGAAAATGTCAGATTGGGATTTAAACCTTTACAATCTTCTTAAAAACTATTGAATTTTTTTAATCTAAGGATAATTATATGTGTTGGTGGTAATGTGTGCATCCCTCACCAATATGTCATGGGTAAGAGTCCTGCTTTGTTCGGGCACACTTGGGAAGGGTGTTATGTGAACCTACCAACCATCACAAGTTTCCTTCGGGTACTGTGCTTCAGTTCCTCCTGTACTAACACTGGGCAGACCAAATACCCAAAGTCTAGCAAGCTGATAAGTGACGATACGATAAAAAAAATACAAAGTATTATTTGCTAGGGCGAGGAGGATGTGGTAAAACTACTGTACAGTATTCAGTAATTTTTTAGAATTTTTAGGATGGAGGGTTTATATTAGCTAATACTGTACAGTAGATAATTTAATTTAGTTGATACCAGATTCATATTCTCCTCAGATTTGCCCCACACAGTGTAGGGACTAGCACTGTATCACTGGGAGTATAGCACGGCTTCTTGTTGGTGCAAGAGAGGTGACCTTTACTTGGATGATGGAGAATTTTTTGTTTTAGTAAATATACTTAATTAAAAAAAAAAATAGTAGTTTACTAATGCTGCCTTAGCCATATATACAGTACAGGTGTTGATAAAACAATTATGGAATGTTGTACTAAATAATTGAAGATCTATTGGGGTATTTGTAAGGTAAGACCTAAGGGTCCAGTCTTGTCTGAGTGTGTTAAATTAGCATCTTGTTCACTTGTTTGGGCTGTGGTCTGATATCGAACTATCTCACTTGTTAACACTTGCCTGAATGAGTGTAGGGTAGTCGCTGGTAACTTTGATGAAGATGGGTGAGATATTAGGTAATCTCACGACGTGTCACCTTTGATACAGTCGTAGATTGGTTGATAGTTGATATCGTCACAGCCACACAGGTTCTATTATCTTCACTCGTTGTTCCTTGGTTTAATGTAAACACTCGAGGTGATTTTCTGGTTATATTGGATAGTCTAGTCTTGCTAGGTTGTTGTGGACAGACTGATGAGGATTAGCTATTAGCTTGTAATTAGCTGATATAATGAGAGAGGTACAGCCTGGGGAGGTAGGCTCACAACACGTCTCTTTGGTACTGTGTCTGGCTGACCTCTCCGAGTCTGGTTGTTGGAGAGTAATTCATACGTCGACACAGACATAAAATCTAAACAGGCCTACTGAGAAGTAGATTTATGGGTTGTAACCCGAGAATGTGTGAAACAACAAACTGTCCACCCTGGGGGACAGAACAAATGCTTATGTAGCTTTATGCTCAATATTCTGGGTGATAGAATGTATATAATGAATATATGTCCTTAGCCCATATTTATATAATACTGATTGATAACAGCTAGTACATACTCTTAATTTTAATAAATATTAAATTAATAAACTGCAATTATTGTAACAGTGCCATGAGTTTCCACCCGCCACAGTGTGTTCTCGCCAATTTCGAGCCAATGAAGGCCTTAAGCCTGTCTTCAACCAATGTCGAAGCCTAGGGGGTATGACCTCTGAAGCGGTCCCACTGTGCCACCCAGTTTGAAAAAGTCAGTCTGTGTTGGAATTTTGTGTAAAGGTGTGTCTGTAGTGGCGACATGCAGGTATTTGGGTGTATTCTATTTGGTAAATCCTTAAGTTCCCTTTTGTTGTGAGATAGGTTATTGTTTTGTGAGTAACTGTTCATTTTGAGTAACGTCATTAATAAATAAAAGAACCGTTATGATCTAATTCTTAATCCCCTTGTGTTGACTAAGACATTGCCATGCATGTCTGTGGTATTATGGCTTGTTACGGTGAGTCCTACATATAATAACTATCCTATATTTCCCATCTGTGAAGCATGTATCTTAGTTCCCCTAACCAGCTTCCCTGAGTCCCCCCTGGCTGGTGTCTGTGGGAGGGCCAACTGTATGCCTATATCACCAGCCGACCGCAACCATAAACAATTATCTCCCTCACCCTCTCCACCTCCCACGAGTATAACGAGAAAGACTTGGGGGGACCGGTGGTAGAAGCGGTACCGTTCTTAACCTCGCAAGCGAGATGTCACGGGTTCGATTCCCGGGCCGGTGGAAGTTGTTTGCACTTACTTCCTTGCCCCCATTAACCCCTGTTCACCGAGCAGTAAATTAGGTACCTGTTGTAAGTCGAAAGTTGCGAATTCGTATTCAGGAAGTTGGAGCTTCCAATAACTTGATGACATAAACCACTGACTCTTCAGGCTTCTACGCCCTCGACTCTTCATGCTTCTACACCCTTAACTCTTGAGACAAAGGCAAGCATGAACTTAGCATGCTTCCCTGTTGGGCGCTGTAAACGCTTCTGTTCTTCACCTTACACAAGGATGTAGGGGGATGCCCAATAAATAAATAAAAAAAAAAACGAGAAAGAATAACAGGAATAAATAAAAGAAAGAGTAAGAGTAGGTGAAAGAAGTAAGAATAAGCAATATAAATATGTGTAAATATAAAGAATTAAAAGAAAAATAAGTTAATTTGTTACCTGGTGACACCGGTTTAGATATTTTTTTAAAATACTGAATCCGTCTCACGCGGCTACAACTCGCCACGCTACCAAAACGTAGTTTTAACGTATATTCATTTTGTGTTTGATAAATAATAAGAATTAGTAAGTTAAATTTTTTGTTCTGTTAAGTACTGAGAGAACATTGAGGTTGAATTTGATGTTAATTAGTCTTGATGTTTGTCATGCTGTTCGGTGAATTGATTGTACTGTGAGATGTGGTAGGAGAGCAACCAGCTATGAGGGGATAAGGGGACTATGGGTAGGCACCCCACTCACCCCCTGCCACCCAGGGAGCCACCGGGGCAACCACATCCTGCCTGCACCTCCTCACCAAACGGCCCTCCCCATCCCAGCCCCACCCCGAACCGACCCACCCCAAAGAACTCAACACAGCCATTTCCAATACCAAAAATAAAGCCCCTGGTTATTCAGGCATCACCAAGGAGATCCTCAGCCACATAAACAACCCGGCCATGGAGAAACTGAGAACCACAATGAACACTTGCCTGGACATTATTACTCAAACACCAAAACAAGGAAAGAACTCCGCCGCCCCACTAAACTACAGACCGATCTCCCTCCTCGAAGTACCTGGAAAAATCCTAGAAAAAATCATCAATAACCGTCTGAGAAATCACCTGGAAACAACAGAGTCAACTGAACACAATTCGGGTTCAGAAAAGGGAAGTCCACCACAACAGCGATAGCCCTGGCATGTGAAAACATAGCCAGAGCCGCGGCGAGTGGTAGACAATGTAATCTAACTCTCCGGGATGTAGCGAAGGCATTTGACAATGTCTGGCATGACGGTCTAAAATATAAGATACTCCAACTCGGACTTCCCGCCAACATTGAAAAGCTGCTTTGCAACTTTCTTGACGGCAGAAATGCCAGACTGAGGGTAGGACAACGCACAGGAGAGACCTTCCCACTCAGGGGAGCGTCTGCTCCCCCACCCTATATATTATCTACACAAGTGACACCCCGCCTCCCACTAAAATAGGTAACGAAGATAGTAAGCAAATAAACAAACTAAAGCCTAATAAGTCACCAGGTCCCGATGAGATATTTGCCAGAGTATTAAAGGAATGTAAGGAAGAGCTTAGTTTGCCCTTAGCAAAGTTGTTTAACATGTCCTTAAAAGCAGGTATAGTACCAGAATCCTGGAGAATAGCGAATGCAATACCGCTTTGCAAGAAGGGAGATAGATCACTATCCTCTAACTACCGTCCAATCAGTCTAACATCAATTGAAGGCAAATTACTGGAAGCAATCATTTCAAACTACTGTATGTTCGAAATCACCTGGACAAGTACAAGTTCATCAATGATTCCCAACATGGCTTCACAAGCAGGCGTTCATGTCTAACTAATCTATTAACATTCTTTTTATCAGTTTTCAAATCAGTGGACGAGGGGCACAATTATGATGTGGTATATCTCGACTTAGCAAAGCCTTCGACAGAGTCCCCCACGAAAGACTAATAAGAAAAGTGGAGGCTCATGGCATTAAAGGTGATATTTTAAAATGGATTAGGGCGTGGTTACAGGACAGGAAACAGCGACTGAGCATTAATGGCACTAAATCCCATTGGAGCAACGTCACGAGTGGAGTTCCCCAAGGCTCAGTACTTAGACCATTATTATGTACATAAACGACATAGATATCGGCATAGACAGCAACATAAGTAAATTTGCTGATAACACTAAAATAGGACGTGTAATTAAATCTGACGAGGACTCCACAAAACTACAGGAAGATCTAAAAAAAATTTTCGAGTGGTCTGAAAAATGGCAGATAAAATTCAATGTGGACAAATGCAAAGTACTCAGTATAGGAGATGTAAACAGGGAAACCAGATACCAGATGAACAACGATGTTATTGAGAAATCCGACTGCGAGAGAGATTTACGAGTAATGATAAGTAGGAATCTTAAACAAAGTAAACAATGTGTATTTGCTCGAAACAAAGCTAATAAAGTACAGTGGGGTATGCTATAACGAACGGATCCTACTACGAATATTCCTATAACGAACGGTTTTACCTATAAAATTGAGAATGCTATAACGAACGCAACTCCTACAACGAACGCGGATGAATACCGGACTATTTCGCCTGGCGCATGAATATTGTTGTACCGCGACCCACAACAAGAGCGTCAGGCGCCATCTTTTTCTCATTGTGTAGCCAGTGCACCACTGTTATTGTTGAAATTTCGTCTTTTGATGTGGAAATAGAGTTATTTGTATAAACATTTTGTTATACAAGTGTACAATTGTGACAATGAATCGTTCAAAGTGAGTGAGAAAGCTCATAACTCTTGAAACTAAGAAAGAAATCATAAAGAAACGTGAGGATGGAACAAGCATTTCGAAACTTAGTGATGAGTATGGGATGGCTAAATCGACTATATGTACGATTTTAAAGAATAAAGAGGAGTTGAAAACAGTGCAAGTGGCTAAGGGAATCTCTAGACTTAGCAAAGCAAGGTGTAATGTGATTGAGGGGATGGAAAATTTACTCTTAGTTGTGGATAAAGGAGAAAGAAATGGCAGGTGATAGCATTAGTGAAGCTCTAATTTGTGAGAAGGCCAGACAATTGTTTGAGGACCTTAAAGCCAAGACTCCCAGTGCAAGTGATAGTGATGTGCCAGTGTTTATGGGTACCAAGGGGTGGTTTACTGGTTTCAGAAGGAGAAATAAAATACATAGTGTTGTGAGACATGGTGATGCTGCTAGTGCCGATAAGGAAGCAGCTAAGGAACACCATGACATTTTTTTTGAATATTATTAAAGAGGGAAGCTTTGTTTCTCAGCAGGTATTCAACTGTGATGAAACTGGACTATTTTGGAAAAAAATGCCTCGCCGTACATACATTACCAAGGAGGAAACTTCTGTCCCTGGCCATAAGCCAATGAAAGACAGGCTTACCCTCCTTCTTTGTGCTAATGCTTCTGGTGACTGCAAAATAAAGCCACTCCTTGTGTACCATGCAGAAAACCCCAGAGCTTTAAAAAACACTAGGAAGACCCGCCTTGGTGTTATGTGGCGGTCAAACCCAAAGGCTTGGGTGACCAGGAATTTATTCTCTGAGTGGGTGATTGAGGTGTTTG